GCACTAAGCTATGGATCCTTTGCAGTGTCGATCAGTAAGACCTGGGAGAGATGAGCATCTCAGAAGCTGGTGTAGGTCCTGAAGGAGCAAGGACCATGCACACTGGTAAACCCTTGCAAAGGCTGTAGTTAGCAGATGCTCACTGTGTAAGAGCAGTTTTTGGTGAGCCAGGCAGGGTACGTCTGCACCCAGTGGCCTGTGCAGTACTGACCTACTCTGCACTGGTGTGGCGGTGCAAAGGGGACAGACGCTGCTCTGAATTTGCTGCAGGGAGCAGGATGTGAATCCTCCCTTTCTGCACAAGGTTTCCCAGCCAACCCACCTTCCACTCGAGAAGACAGACCCAGGAGGTCTGTGAAACAAAGCCCAGCCTGACCCTGCCACACTGGCTGCTCTCTTGAACCCTCTTTATGTCCCACATGCACTTTGACAGTGGTATTGCCACTCAAGTGGCAGGTTTTCCTCCTCATCCATCATCCTCCAGGCTGCTCACCCAGCTTCCCTCCGGTTCAAACACAAGCCACTTTCCCAACCCTCAACTAAAGCTTGGCCAGAACCTCCCTGTGCCTCCGTGCCCCGACTCTGCTCAGCCCCAGGGGGATGCAACTTCATTCCCTCCATGTGCTGAGGATGCACATATGGCAGCCCCCTCCCCTCTCCACTTCCACCTAAGCCCGACCTCCTAACAACCTCCACACGGCACAACGCGCCCGGCCCGCGATGCCAGAAGGCATCCAGGTGCTGCAGCCTGATGCTTCACACCCACAGCCAGGCAAATTTGCTGGGATTTCCGGGAAGTGTCTCTAGGGTGCCCTGTGCTGCTGCACCCCCAACTTCGGTGAGCGCTTGTTTGGAATGCGGGGCCGTTGGTGGGGGGGGAAGGAGAAGAGAGGGGAAGTTATTCTGGTGGTGGCCTATGAATAACATCCAGTGATTTATAGGAAGTATAATCCAATAATACAGTAAAATAAAACAGTGTGTCTGAGATGGGTTTGATTCCAGGAATTATAAAACAAATTATTAAAGAGAGAGAGAGAGCCTCAGAGAGGCCAGATCGGAGTAAATTGGGCACAGATGGGGCTGGGAGGGGGGTTCCTCTCCTCTCCCCTCACCGAGATGCCCCTGCCGCAAGCACGGCTTCAATTAGGCCTTTCACAAACCAGAGTTTTATTTCCCCAAATTACAGAATTAAAAAAAAATTAACATTCTTGGAGTGTTTGTGGTTGGGAAAAAGGGATCCAAACTTCTCCCCGAGTCGCTCGGTGCAGATGGCTACCAAGCTGCTCAAACGGGCCACCCCACTAAGGTCCTGCCCCAGCCAGAGCCCCCACTGTGGCTCATCGTGTCTATGTGAGGATGGAAAGCTCCAGCAACTGCATGTCTCTGCTCTGTAGTGGGTGTCCCTCCTTGCCCCATGGGTTTGAGGTCTCCAAGGAGCTTTTTCCCCACCTTGAACGCTCCCAACAGGAGGTCGGAGGGACCCTTGTTGGCCACACGCCTCCCTGCACAACGGGGAGCGCGGCTCACTCGGAGGAACAGTGCTTGATGCCGAACAGCAGGGGAAGCACTTCATGTGGGAATTCTTTGGCTTCCTCTGTCAGAGAAAACAAGAGAACCAATCCATCTCCCAGGGTGTGCCCAGTGCTGCCCGGCTGCACAGGCAGCTGAGACCAGCTCCAACGCGCCTGGTGCGGGCCCTTGGGGACAGGCACAGCTCCGCTGCCTGCACCAGGCACACACCACAGGGCTCTGGGTTTGAGTAGCTGGTGCTGCAGAAGTGACCCGCATGGGAGGAGGTGGTGAAATGCCCCGTGCTGCTCACGGAGGCTCTGAAACCAGCTTAACACCCCAGTGCACCCCAAAAAAGGCTGAGAGAGTGGGGCTGGGGCAGCTGGAGAAGAGAAGGCTCCTCAAGGGGACACCTTAGAGCAGCTCCAGTGCCTAAAGGGGCTCCAGGAAACCTGGAGAGGGGCTTTGAAA